TGACGGAATATATTAATGACATTTTAAAATCATTTCTTGACAATTATAGAAATATAGTATTTATATTGAATTTCATTTCCTAAGGAAGTGAGTCAACTTTAATTAAATTATCCTAAACAAATTATTAAATTGTTTTAAAACAAATACTTTATTAAATAATTAATATCCCTGTTATTGAGGTACAACGATACTTCTATTTTTATTAAAATTTCTGCATTATCTTTTATCTGTCATCTATCCGAAAAAAATCTCTTATCATGCATAGTATGGAATACTTAAATCTAAAATAAACTTTAATGATTTCAGAAATATTCGAACCTATAGTAACGATGATAACAATAATAGTAATATTCATTATCAAATGGTAGAAAATATTACTTTTATCAATTTAACTGATTATATTTTATTCTTTTAGATTAATTATAATACTAATTATTTAGTGAATTAAAACTGTGCAAGAAATTAGCAATTCTTTCTTCATATGATGCTTATATGTTACCTGCTTACTTACCTTTTGTGCTATGAGTTTTGAATTCGAACAAAATGAGAGAAAAAGAAAATTTTCTTCTTCTGATAACAAATTAATGCAAGGAAGCGGAAGAACTATGAAAAAGAATATTGATGTTCAGTGTAAATTGATGTAATTTGTAATTTCTATCCTTTTTTTTTCGCATATTTATTTCGTTAAATTACCTGTCGTAATAAGTAAATAAAGCAGGTAGCATGTAATTTTGCATGCATTATCATTATTTCATGCTTTTCCGATATCATTTCTTTATCATTAAATTTATCACCTTTATTAATATATATATAAAAAATTTTGAATTTTGAATTCACTTTGTTTTTGCTTACTTGCCCCTCATTACTTATAGTTAAAATTTAATTTCTTTTCTAACATTACTTTAATATTTATAAAATAAACTGAAATTATTTTATCATTTTATTTTGATATTCAAAAAAAGTAAATAATAAAATTTGCTAAAATTTCATTCAAAGGATAGTTTTAATTTAAAAAATTTTTTAAAACGGCTATCTATACCTGTATAAGAATTTAATTTTAATTGAAATAAAATTAACAAATAGGTTTTGAATAGAATTTATGAATGTATTAATTTAAATTAAAGGTAAAAAAGGTGTAAGAGATAATAAGGTATCAATAAATGTAATGAAATTGAAAATGTTTTCTTAATTTACCAATTTAAATTTTTTATTAAACTTTATTTTTAGAGGAGGGAAAGAGGGTGGAAAGAGGTAAGTTGTTTTGACTGCAAACATATTTTATCATTGTAATAAGAAGAAATATAATGAAAAGGGAGAAAGGATGAGAAGAAAATGAAGAAGAAAATAGTAGGTGAAGAGAATTTTAAAATTAGAAAATAACAAAAGAAAAATTCATTTTTATTCTAATTAATATTACCTGTCAATTAGAACTGCTAATGAAAATTTAAATTGTTCTTTTTAGGAAAAACATTTTTCTCATTTGTTGTAAAATTTCTTTTTTATTCAACTGATAACCCGGTTTTTACTTTTCCTAAAAAAACCGTACGACCTATCAGGCATCCTTTTTTTCTTTTCCTCATTTACCTTATATTCTCCCGGAAAATTGTCAATATTTCAGGCCTAATTACATTTGTTGACGGTTTTTGCGTCAGTGTGGTTTTTCATAGTCCATCCATCCATCCAACCATTCATCCAGTCTATCCATCCATCCGTCCATCCGTCCATCCATCTAATTCATCCGTCTATCTATCCATTCATCCATCTATCCATACCGGTTTTCTCTTTACCATTTTTCAATTTTATAAAACATATACTTCGATCATTCAATCTTTCTTCATTCGTCACCTTCCATAAATATTTTAGTGGTTAAATTAAATTTAGATTTTGGAACGAAAAGAAATAAAAAGAAAAAAACGGTAAACTAAAATGTGCTTATGTTTATGTAAAACAGCTAATCGTATTGGTCATGCTGTACAGGAGAAATTAAAAATAACAATTAATAATAATAATATTACTACTACTACAACTAGTATCATTACTACTGCTACTACTACTATTACTGATGCGACGGATACAATTACTACAGAATATAAATCAAAGAAACGGCGACACAATAAAATAATGGTGAATTAATTTTTGCTTTTTTTTTGTTTGTGATAATAGTTTTAAAATATGTATTTCATTTTGAATAATAAAATTCAAAGTTTCGTTTTCTTTTTTGCTTTAAAATAAATAAATTAATTAATTTTAATTTTAACGTTACGTTTATTTCACATTTTCTTTTTTTTTTAATATAAATAAATGAATTAATTAATTTTAATGTTACATTTATTTCATTACATAATTAATACAACAACATTTGACGAAATGTAAGCCTTTCTTCCCCTTTTTCCAAAATCCAAAAAATTGAAAACTAAATTTTGTAAACTATTTGAAAACTATTTTTTTAACCAAAGAGAAATAGAAATGGTTGTTTTATTTACTCCTTTTTTTCTTTCATTACTTTTATAAACAAATTGTTTACAAATAATTTCTAAAATTCAAATCAAATATTTTATTGATTGATTTTTAAACAATCATTCATTCCTACTGATGCTAATTTAACTATGAAATTTTCAATGGAACAGCTTTATCGGAAAAAGCTCATTGATATCGCTTGTAGAAATTTATTAATGCAATTATTTGCATAAAGTAAAAAAAAGTTTTAATAGTATATGCGATGGATTGTTCCCGAAGCTGTAACTAACTATTTCAATTTTATTATTTGTATATTCTCGAATTACACGAATGCATTAATTTACATAACGGAGGGATAAAAGAGAGAGAGAGAGAGAGAGAGAAGAGAGAGAGAGAAGAGAATAAAATTATTTGTTGAAATTTGAAAGTAAAAAATTTCAATTTGATAAATTTGAAGTTTTTGAAATATTTGTTGTAAGAAGGGAAAAAAAGAGTAAATAATTTCTTCAGAAATAATAAAAATGAAAGAAACGAAACAAAATCTTTTCAACATTTTATCATTCGAAAATATTTCTTTCCATTTTTCTTTCTTTCTTTTCTTTGCAAAATTTTAATAATCAAGTGGATAACCTCATTTTTTACTTTTTTTCTACAACTTTAATCTATTTTACAGATTTGTAATAATTACATTGCAACACTAATCATATTTACTCTTTCAAAAATTTTTTCATTATGCTCAAAAAAAAAATATGTAAATAAAATTTATCAAATTTAAATGACAGCAATATTACCATATCCATTGTTTGAGAGTAAATTAATAGATTTAATTTATATTAATTAATTTAATTCTTATATTATATTAAATCAACAATATCACCACCTTCATTGTTTGAGAGTAAATTAATGAATTTAATTTATATTAATTTATTTAATTCTTATATTATATTAAATCAACAATATTACGACATCTATTGTTTGACAGTAAATTAATGAATTTAATTTATATTAATTTATTTAATTCTTATATTATTAAATCAACAATATTAGCACATCTATTGTATGAAAGTAAATTAATAAATTTGATTTATATTAATTAATTTAATTCTTATATTATATTAAATCAACAATATTATCACATCCATTGTTTGAGAGTAAATTAATAAATTTAATTTATATTAATTTATTTAATTCTTATATTATATTAAATCAACAATATTATCACATCCATTGTTTGAGAGTAAATTAATAAATTTAATTTATATTAATTTATTTAATTCTTATATTATAATAAATAATGCGAAATGTATTTCATAATTACTTTTGTGGAAAATTTTGTGTCATTTCCTAAATTTAGAGCAACGTTGAACGATTATATACAATGCATAAATCAATTCATTTATTTATTTATACATATATATTAGCATAGTAAATGATTATATCAAATTGTTGGATAATTTTCACATTAATTATTCCTTTATAAATTGCTGCAAATAAATTCAATTCCAAAAATTTTTCTATCGAACTTCGATCTGTTCGATGAAATATGAAGATTAAATAGGATTTGAGTTAATTTATATTCTATCAATTTTTATTAATACAAAAAGTATTTTCAAAAATTTCTTTATTTCTCTTTTTCATCAAATTTAAAATTGAAATCAATGATTTCAATTATTGTATACTTATTGTATACTAAAATTATTGTATATTTTGCTGGTAAAATTTCATTATTTCTTTATAATCTTAAAATTATCGTATAATTGATTATTTCGATGAAATATTCGTAAAATAAAACAAATCGAATTTTTATAAACATTTGCTAATTCTCACTTATACAAACAATTATTATTATTATTGTTATTGTTAAGTATTATTATTCATTTATTATTATCGTTATTTTTTATTGTTATTATTATAATTAATTATTGTTGGAATTATCTTCCTTTGCCTTTAATTAGTCTTTTCATTTTTTGAAGGAAAGGAAAATAATTCGCTGGCAACGAATTTCTCCTATATGTTTACTTTTCTAAAACCGTTATTGGAAGAATAAAAACTAAACATTTCGAATTGATTAATACAAAGATTAATATATCGGCTAACTTATGCAAATTATGCAAAGATACCTAAGTACCACTTAATATTATTTTGTTTTTTTATTATCACTAAATTTTTGATAAGAAAAAAAAACGGAAATGTATTTTTGCTTTTTCCTTAAATATTGTTTACTTAATTTGGTTTCAGTGGTACTTTCATGATATTTTTAAAAATCCGTTTCTTTTAATTTTTTGTTTTTCGGAAAGGAAAACGAACGAAAAACGGAGTAAAAAATATTTTCAACCCGTTAAAAACTAAAATTTAAAAACTTAATTTAATTCAAATTTTTACCTGTTTAAAATTAATTTGCTTTTTTCCAATATTTATACCTATTTTACTACGATTTTTCTGCTTCCTTTGTTTTTTGCAATTATAATCCTTTTTAAAAAAAGAAATAAACAAAAAATAGTAATACCTGTTGAGACTACAAAACAGAAGTTAGGAATAAAGGGATGAAAATGAACGATGATTTTACTAAATTTGCATATTTGTTAAAATTTTGCATTAAATTATACCTTTTGCAGCCACGTACGTCACCTGTTCTGTTACTTGATTCAACGATCGCTCCGAATATCGAAACGCAGGCAAAGTCGGGTGTTGTCTCAGCATTAGCGCAACAATTTGAAATGAATGCCAATAAGCAATCGATGGATCAATCCATTTCTCATCCAATTAGTGGCAATAAATGGAGTCCAAAGGTATGCATTCATTCGCCTGTCATTTCTTCTAATTAAATTTTTTGTTTAATGATTGCTTTGTGTTTTATAATATAATCATGTGTATTGATTACTACATATTATTCTATTCAACTAATTAATTACTAACTGTGATATCATTAGTGAAGCAATAGGTATGCTTATTAATAATACAATAAGAAGTAGGTAATTTAATTTGCTTTGAATGTTAAATGTTATGGAAACAATAACCAATATTATCTTATTAAATCATTATTTTAGTTTTTAAAATCTATCCAATGACTACTCTGTCAATAAACATTAATACAAAATTATCCTAAACTATTACTATCTGTCTAGTAAAATAATTATAAATCAAACAATCAATTGAACAGTTGCAATTAAATCATATTTTATACTCTTAATAAATTATTGAATTTTCTTTAATTTGAAATACTATTTAGCAAATAAGTAAGAAATATTTTCCTATCAAATAAGACACGATTATTAAGAACTTTTTCATTTACTTATACATTTATTTTGTTGTACTTCTAAGAATGTTTAGCTGTTAAATAAATTAGAATAAATAATTAAACAGCCTATATTTTAAGCCAATTTTCATAAGCCTAATTATTTAATGCTCATTCATTAGCTATAATATAGTTAATTATTGTCAATAAAAAAAGGCTCTGTCAATAAACATGCTCACTAATTAATTTTAATATCTTAATTATATTCCATTGACATGGTTAATTTGCATTTCTCAAGAAATTATGATGTGTGAAACATCTTTTCGTGTTTTTGAGTAACTTCTCAAATTTCATTTCTAATAATTCTACATGTCGAAAATGATTAAAATAACATTATTTATGCTTACTTTGGAGAGAGTGAAATTTTAGCTAAATTTTTTTTATTCTGAAAAATTAAATTAAAACATTTTAATTACTGTTAAAAAATAAACACATTATGCATTTCTATATATTTTGCTCGAAGTTTTTATTCATAAACCTTCCGTAATTTTTATAGATGGAAATGGAAGTTTTGCAAGAATGATATTTAATTTCGAAGAAGTTGCTTAAACTATTTTTCAAATTTCGAAAATTGTCTGCCAGCTTGATGTTTTTTTATGATTATGAAGAATATTTGGAAGAAAGCCTGAATTTAAGGGTGGTCCAAAGCCGAAAGAATTACCACAATTGTTGCCGACAGTTGAATTTAAAACAACACCAGCTGGTGGGAAATACAAAAAGATTGATTATGAAGTTATTGATGATAATAAATTACCAAAAAGTGAGCAACAAGATAGTTCATCCTTGCAGTACAGCTTTGAAAAAGTAAGTTGTAATTAAAAATTTACTTATGTTTGATTAAACGCTCAAGATAACCTTTCATAGCTATGGGAAATTTGTTGTGAGATACGGTAGGTAAGAAAATAAAAATTGATGAAGAACGAAATCAATCAATATTGCTATTCCTTAACATTAAAATTTTCTACTTCATATTGCTGCTAAATTTGACATTTCTTTTAATTATTCATCAATTCAATTAAGTTATTTAACTCAGAAGTGGAATTCGTTGAAAGAGTAAACAAAAGTAAAAGTAAGTAAACAATAAAAAGTAATTAATGGAAAAGTTTAAAATTCGAAATAATTGCTAAAATTGAAATGAATGAAAAAGAGAGAAGAAACAATGAGTAAATTAAAGTTTAAAAATGTATAAAAGAAGAAATAATGATGAGTCATTTGTTTTTGTTTTTATTTGTAAACAATAAATTATAGTTAATTTCAATGAAAAAAAAGAGAATCATAATAATTATTCATGATTTTTTCATCGTTATCTTCCTAATTAGTTTTTAATTATTATTTTCTTCTAATAATAGCTGCATTTTTCTATTAAAATTAATATAAAGTAATAAAAAATCGATCAAATTTATCTCTTTTAAAAACAAAAGAGTTAAAAGATTTTTTTTGAAAAATAAATTAATTTGAAATAAAGAAAAATTGAAATTAAATATTTCATTTTTACTCAATGAATATTTAATAAATCTTAGCTTTAATTAAAAGTTATCACATCATATCATATCGATCAAATGAATTGAAATTGCTGGAAATGTCTTGAAATTTGCTAAAATTTAGTTTTATGCTATTTTTGGTACAAAATCTACTTTCAAACTAAAATTTCTAGCAGCCATATAAGTAATCAAAAATAAAATTACTGAAATTTTTCATGAGGATCAATAGAATTATTAATTAAGGAAAAAGTTTAATTAGCTTTATTTTTTCATTAATTTATTATTAAAAAAAAATTTTTCAATTCAACCATACGTTAGGGAATAAATTATTCGAATCATTTAAGTTAATATAAATTAAAAATATGCAACAATATTTGTTTACTATTTTGCAGAAAGAAGAAGAAAATTTCATAGATAGGTCGTCATCCGAACCAAAATTCATTTCACCTGAGCAACAAAAGGAACAGGTAAGTATTAATTATCTCCAAATTAAATTATAAAATTATTAAGTTTTTCTTCGAAAAGAGTTGAGCTGGTCAGAACTTATTATTCAATCTATCATATATTTTGATATTTTCATCATTTAATCAAATCGTATTTATTGATTTTGTTTGTGTTTTCTCGTCGATACTCTCCAACTGACAATTCCCATTATTTACAAAATGATAGTATCATCAATTCGAACAGCTAAGCAAATTTTTAGATTACCCTTTACGAGTATGATTCACAAAAAATCAGCCGTCGAACAGATGAAATACCAAGTGCGCCTCTGTTGTACGAACAAAAACCTGAAGCGCCTTCGTTGTACGGACAAAAGCCTGAATCGCCTTCGTTGTATGAACAAAAATCTGAAAAAGTATGGTTTATTGATAATGTATAAAATATACGATTTTGAAATGTTTCAATTAAATTATTAAAGGTTTTTTAAAGAAAAACTAAAGAGTTGAGCTGGTCAGAAAACAAAGATTATCTTTTGGAAAGTTACAAATTATTAATGATAACAGGAATAGTTCTATTCCTCAGTTCAGTCTTGGCTTATCTTAGCATAGAAACCTGTCTAAAAACTTTCATTTACCATTCTCTTAGCATCCCTCATTGACAGCATACAAAGCTAGGAATATTTTCTTTTAGCTTCAGCAAGACCTGATGCCACATCGACGTGACTGGACCGAAGAGAGGAAAACAGAAGAGCGGTCATCCACTCCTAAAGGTGCTTGGCAATATGATATGAAGCATTTTCCACCTTTCACTACAACACCTTCAGCACAAACAACAACTTTCGGGTTATGGACTAGTACGGAATCGCGAGATCATGATGTTACAAGTCATGATGAGAAACCAAAATCAAAAACAGATACCGTTGGTTCCACTCCATCTTCTACAATTCTGGTAAAACAAGATCAGGAAGGACGAATGTTAGCTACTGAAACATGGGATACGAAACGTCAAGGTGCATCGTATTCTACTGCTTCGACATTGGAAAAAACACGTGAACTTGATGAAGAAGTTTCTGTGAGATTGTTTTCTTCTTCTATTTTTACTTTTATATTTTTTTCATGCAGAAAAATGAATACGAACTCGTAATTACGAATTATTGCTTAATCAATTAATTATTTTATTTATTTATTATTTGATCATTAAATTAGTAATTAAAAAGAAATAATTTCAGTATTGAATTGTCGATTAATTAATCTTACTTTCATTTGATTATTAATTAATAGATAAAGCTAATATGAAGAAAATAAATTAATTATTTGGTACTTAAATACTAATTAACATATATATACATATATATTAATTATTTTTTCTAACTTAATAATAATGAAATTGCAAAACAAAGTTTCAGCAAAAAGATGTCCGCCAACATTCACCAATATGGGCAATAATAAAATCGACTCGCCATGATGACAGTAAAGAGGGAGAAGTTTGTTTCTAAATTCATTAAATTAATTTCTCAATTTAAATTATTAGCCAGAAGAAAGAGAGATAACAATGATAATATTCATACTGCTCATATATCAAAGTGGGAAGCAATGTTTATAAATTTTTCTTTCCTGACATACAATTTCATTATTGATATCGGAATTCTAAAATACGACATAAAGCTTACCGCAGTGATAATCATTAATTATCACTTGTGATTTTTAAATAATTTCGTTTATATTATCCAAATACGAAGTATTTAATTGCAACAATAATAATAATAATGAAATACTTTCTATCATAATCGTATAATCCTACAAAAATTTACTGAAATTATGAATTAACTTTAGATTTAAAAACTTGATAAATAAGAAATGGCGATATTGTCCTCTCGAAGCATTTATTGAACACAACTTTAGGCAAATGATTTTAATTGCTTTCATTATTATTTCAAGCTATCATCCATTTCAATATGCTATACTATCATTAATTGATTACTCATTTCAAATCATTTGATAAGAAAATTTTCTCAAACATTTTAAAAATTCCTCACTTTTACTTCCAATTTCTATTCTCATTTTCTTAATATAAAAAAACAAAAGGAAAAAAAAGGTAAAATATTTTATTTGAAATAAAAAATGGATCATAAATTTTTATAATATAATGGTATGTTTAGGATGAATTATTTATTTTATGTTTACTAAGATTATTCCTAAAAAAATAAAATGTTGAAGAGGAATTTATTACCCAAAGAATACCAAATGTTTGCTAAGCCAATATTGCATACTTGATAGGGGTCAATTATTGGATCTAAAATACATACTTTTAAAGGTCACGTTAAATTAAGTAATTATATAATTATGATAGAATGTAATGGGTAATTAAATTATTTGTGTTAACCTGAATATTTTCGAATTTTTTGTTTGAATTATTTAAATACTTTATTCAAAATAATTTCATTTAGGAATCAATTTATCACAATATTATCTGAAATTATTTTTATCTTTGTAATTAAATTCTCTAATTTAGCATTTAATTAACATGTAATTAATTCAGTTATATTAATTAATAGCTTACACATGCATCGTATCAGATTAGCTTACTATATTGTAATGATGGAAATTATATCCATCTAACCATTAGATATTCATTAATTAACTGATTAAATACTAATTAATTAGCTGACATATCTCATATATCACTTCAAAATTGGCTTATTATATTTTAATGAAAATTAACGAAAAAAAAGAATATTTCTAAAATTTTCTCAAATTTTTAACTTTTCATAAAATTTTCGATGACATTGAAAATATTAATCCAATCATCAATGATGCATAATAACTAGAAAATGATAATATTTGAAATAGTTTCTTCTTCAGTTTTTAATATATCAAAGAAAAAAAGGGAAAGAATAAAATTTATTATTCCTTTCAACTAATAACGAAATTTTAATTTTTTCCTCTCTCTCTCTCTCTCTCTCACACACACATATCATCATAAATTCACATATGTATCGCAGCCAATCTAATCCTTCCGCATATTAACTTTTTATCTACCTGTCACCCTTTCTATCTATTATTCAAATTATTTCAAACGATTAAAATCTCAAAAACGCTTCATACTACTACTATCATTCTTCCTTTCTTGACAATGATATATATGCGACAAGCACGTTATTATCAGGTTTACTACTCATTTCAATTTCGGAATGATTCTTCCTGTATGGCTGGCTATTGAATGGAAAAAAATTCATCAGTTGAATAGATATCCTTAAAGTTTTTAAAAAAAGATTTATCTAATAAGAAAGAAAGTTGTTAACAATTTATATATAAAGTAAACTATACATATATAATATACATTATGCGTTGTATAGCAATAAATTTTTGTAAATTAATTTCAGTTGTAGCAATTAATTAGTATTTAGGAATTTCAGTGTTTTTCATTTTTCATCAAATATTTGGATTTAAAATATGTCCATTATTTGTTGTGTATGAAATTGAAAAGTATTTGATAGATAGTTTAGAAATTTCTCGCATTATTCAACGTCTGTTATACTTGTTTGATAGATGTTATATAGAGATGGAAAAATAGCTTATCACTCTGATAAGCAAATAAATGTCTCCGTCGAATTTCTCATTTTGTCACATCTTATCATCTTATCAACAAAATGGTTTCTTCCCTTTCTTTTTGTTTATTCCTTACTCAATCAGGTATGAAATGCCTCTCTTATTGGTTCTATTTATTATATTGCGCTTATTTTATGTGTGGAACATTTTATATCACACTTATATCATTACCCGCATGATACATTATTACCATCATCCTTCCTTTCATTTACCACTTCCTCTCAAGTTATGATAATTGCTAGCAAAATATATTAGGATATATCAAAAGTTGAAAATTTGAAATTTGAAATTTGAATTTTTCAATGTAATTCGCTGCTGAGCAAGTTTAATTTCTCCGACACCTTAAATAGTTTCATAATTTTTGTTTTTGATAGATTTCAAAGGCTTCAAATTTCCTTTGTGATATTTAGATAGTAGAATCACTTTAGTAATTGTGAATTTTTCCACATATTTTGAAGCTTTAAATATTCATTGTTGCAATTTTTAATCTATCAAGAAATTATTAGCTGAGAAAATAATTCTCGAAGTTTTCTCCAAACTACTTAATAAGCCATCGTGCAAATACCATACATAATCGCAATGTTGAAAAGAATTTTAAAACTAGCATTTTCAAATTTTAACTTTTGAAATTGATATATCCAAGTGAAACTGTTGCTTATTATGATCATTTAATTAATGTATCAATCGACTCATAGTTTTATTAATCCTTATTGAAACGCTATTTCCCAAATGTTGTAAATATTCCAGAAAAAAAGGCGGAATTATTTCATACCAATTATTCATCAAATAATTATATTATAATCAATTCAAATTTTAAATTGGATATTTAAAATCCAATTTTTGTACCATAACGTTGAATTATTTAGAAGAGATATCTTCTTTATATTTTTATCAATCTATTAACTTTCCATATGACAACCATTATTGCTTTCATCAAACAATCGAAAAAGAAATTGAAAAATTGAAATAAAGAAGAAATTATTTCATTCATTGATTTTATATGATAGTAATTGATATTTATAGAATACAAAGGAACGATCGGATATGCAGAAAATTGTGCGACCATCAATGCCATCACCTGTAATTTCTTTTCTTTAAAATTATTCAAAATTAAAAAAATTAAGAATATTATTTATTTATGCACAAAAGTTGACCATTTTGATGGCCAAATAATAACTTAATATTGTGAGACAAAATAAATGTTAATTATTTTAATTATATGAAATCAACTTATAAAATATACAATTAAAATATTTGAAATAAAATAGATGTAAATAAATTTAATTTTATAGAGAAAAAAATTGTCAACTTTTGAAGTACATAAATAAAATAGTTCGATGGAACGTTAGAAGCCACGTAAAATAAAGTAAATATTTAAATCTAAAAGTAAAAAATCTTTTTATTTACTTAAATACTTGAATATCATTTGTAGATGAAATGGCTAATATTAGCTAATTGACAGTAAGATAAAACAATAATATTTGTATTTGTAATGTTGAAAAAATTTTATTCCAATATTAATTTATAATATTTTCAGCATATTTAATTTTTCTTTTTAAATTCATTCCTTTTTGAAATATTTACTAATTTCATTTATTTTATTTCAATACATCAATATTTCATATAGAATTAAGTGATTTATTGTTTTCTGGAATAAAGTTTTATTCGAAGTGGAATTTTTGCTATGATTCCATTGAGAAATTCGATATTAAAAGATTAAAAAGTGATCAGTGCAGGACATTGGTCACTTTTTAATTTGTTGAAAATATTTTTGTACCAATTATTTCTATGAATTTTATTATATAAATAATTTGAATAGGAAAAACAATCATATCGCCGTAAAATTTTGTTTTGCAATTTTTATTGATAATCAAAAAAGAAAGAAATCAAAGAAATTATAAAAAGCAAATTTTAGAATTCCCAAAATTATTTAATAATTAAATTAAAGATGTATCCGAGATAGTTCCATTTCATTTTCTTCGTATAAAATTTATTGAATTTTGTCAAAAGAAAAAATTCATATTTATTGTCAGATATACGACGATTATCATAGTTGTTTTACTAGACATATTATATTGATACTAAAATTATGATTATTTTTATCATTATTTTACTAAAACTATAATTATTTCTGCCGTTAATTTACCGAAACTACGATTACTATTATTATTGTTTTACCAAAAATGCGATCGTTATTGTGATTGTTTTAATACATTATTATAATTATTTTTTCATATTCTTGTTAAGTTATGATTATATTTTATTATATAATTATGATTATTTCAACCGTTGCATTAACAAAATTTTGATTATTTTTGCAAAATTATGATCATATTATTTTATAGCAAATATAATTTGCTCTTATCATTATATTACCAAAATTTTGATTATTTTTATCTCTAGTTTATCAATTTCAAATGCCATACTTTGAATTGATATCATTTTCTATTCTTTTTATGCATTATTTATTTATGAATTTTTTTTGCATAGCAAAGTTCGTACAATTGCGCCTTAATTATCGGTACAATTGCGCCTTATCCATAGAAATGGTAAACTTTAAGCAAAGCGAAGGTGCAATAGGAAATGATTAATACACCTATATATATATATATATATATATATTTTGAAATGAGACTTTCTCATGAGAAAAAATTTTTTCCTTTCAATTAAAGTTTTTCATTTTTCCTTTCCTTTTCCCTCTCTCTCTCTCTCTCCCTCTCTCTCTCTTTCTCTCTCTCTTCCTACTAGCAATTAATCAAATCTTTTGACAAATTTAACTTTCATTGATAGGATGAGAAAGGAAGTGAAAAGAGGAAAAGATGGACTGTATCAGAGCGATTCCTTTTTTTCCCTTTTAATTATTATCACTAAATTTATATTAAAAAAG